CACTCATACAGAACCACAGGCAAAATTACAGTTTTGCATTCTCCATCATTCAACTCTACGCAGGAAAATGACAAATCTACGTAGATGTAAACAATAGGTACGATGTACCTGTTAGTGATTCTCACTCCATGAATTTTGTTACACTATTTCGATTACGAGAAATGACGACTGGTTTGTGCTGATGTGACTGTAAACGAAAAACAAACAAATATTTCAGGCCAAATCCGATTCGAAACTCTACTTCAGACATTTACAGACCAAAAGTTCTAATGTGCCGCTTTCACACAGCTCGTGATCATCTGAAAGGGCACCGATTTCCAAGATTACTTTGTATTCTGGCTTTATTTTGTAGTAACGTATTCTTTCGTTGTATTTGTCCAAGTCAGTTTTGTGGGCGGTCACTTCACGTTTCCAAAACACACACAAAACCATTTGCGTACCTTTAAAGACTATGTATTACATAGTGGAGTTTCGTAATTAAGTTTAGCCCCTCTGATAGTTACATACCTCAGTCTCGACCACGCCTGAAGACGGAAGCAGATCTAGTTTGCGAATCGATGTATTTTATATGAAAACCATGACGATGGACAACTTTCAAAACATTAAACCTTACCACGAGAAAATAAGTGACACATCAGACTTAAAAATCTGCAATAACTTCAAAAGAACTCTGTTAATTGTCTGGTGACTGAGAAATGTGTTAAAACGTCCAAGTATCTTACGCAAGAAAACGTGCAACGATTTTCATAGATCTATTAAAACGAGACCTTCAAGTAGGCCTGTTTGTTTCGTTCTCATGGACACACATTTCTTTCTTTACGCTGCGATATGCACACGCTTCAGCCAAATCACTTCATAACAGACTTAATTTAAATAGCTGGATCACATTTCAGCTTCCTGTATCTGTTTCACTAATACAATCTGCATCTCAGTGCCTTGCAGCACGATACACAGTCCAAGCACCGATAACTACACTAGGCCTACTTATAAAAAACAGCACGTAGACCCTATAACGCACTGCATTCTCGACGTCATGAATTTCAATCTTTATTCCCGAATACCAGCGGACAATGCAATGTCAATAATAATAAACTCATGTGAAATATTGGCTAAATTATAAATACACATTTCACAGCAAGGAGCATGCATTCTTCCTGTGGGGGAGTGGCAGTGCAACCGCGCACGCATTAGTTCGGGTGGCAAATGCATCGTCTAATTCATCTAATGATCCATTTATTTGTACAAACGGTATAAAATACTCCTACGGGCCCATTATTATAACCTAAAAACATCATGCATCGCGACATTAGAGTAAAACGTCGACATTCACAGAACTGCGCTTAGGGAGAATCATGACAACTGATCTCATCAATAATGTATCCGTCTCTTTGTGTGGGTTGTGAATCAGAAGAAGGCAAAACAAGAGAATAAATAATTCAAATCTGAACTTGACAGAAGGTCATTTTAATAGAACATGACTATACATTCTTCAATTACTCTGTGCTAAATCAATCCAGTTAAACTGTGTAATATGAATAAAATATGCACATTGAAGCATAACAGAATCCTGGCGGGAGTGTAATTTTACAGAACTCTCGACAATTCCTTCTGTGCACAACAATGTCGATAAATTATCGATTAAAACGCATGAATATTCTTATTCATTATGACGAATTCGTCACACCAATCATAGCTTCCTTACCTTCAGATAATTCTAGATCCAATTCCGCTAATTTGTCCCTCACATCCTCCGGGAGTTTCGATATGTCAATGTTAAATTCAGCCATGGTCAATCCATTCAAAAACACACATAAATTAAACAGATTAAAACTTCACACACACACACACCACATCAACACAGTTGGCCGATCGCCATCTTGAATTTACGTAGAATGACTGCGGATATTGTCTTCAGATGTCACTACAATGCAGTAATGATCGTAATGATGCTCGACCATTCAACTACCATCGACCTCTATCGACTATCGACGGGTTCGTGCGTATGGAACGTACGGAGTGCTTGGCGGGTACTGTGGTTATAAACGTACTTTCCTCCCATCTATCAGCCAAGTGTATATAATATAAGAGGTGTGGTCTTGCTGTTGTGGTGTAGGCGACATCTCGTGGTAGATCCCGATAATTATTGGTAGCCAATCTAACATGAGGAAATTCGTCCTACCATCTATCGGCCGAATATAAACAATATTACAAGAGCGTAATTGGTGCCGTCTAAACAATAATATTATCTATAAATTAAAGACAAAAAATTAACACTAAAGCATCAACATTTGCTTCTATTATTATTTATTAATACACATGTGTTGCGTTACATGTTGCTACCTTTCCTAGGTCATCATCAGACGAGTCACAAGAATATAAATCTAAGTTCCCGAATTGATATTTTCCTTATGAAATAGAAACTGTTGCAGATTTTGCCTTAACCTAGAGATGGTTTAACCTAGATCCGGAACTTTCATTACAATTCAGTTTACTAAGCCCCTGGTTGGTGAGTCGAGACAGATCAGTGAACAGATACTGCTGAGCACAGTTTTGTAACAAGCAAAACAACTCAGTAAACGAACAAAATGACTAAGCCCTGTAGCAGCAGTTCTTAAACATTTATGTCTGGGGAGAAGAAAGAGAGAAGAGACATAATTTACTGCTGGTCTTCACCAGTACAGTCATTCTTGGTTTAAGGTCCTGTCGAGACCCATGACCATATTTTTGTTTGTTGCAAGACCAGTTAGGTGTTTTTTAATCGGGTCTCTTCTTCAACGAAGGGATGGAAGATCTTTCTGTGCCTCTCTCCGAGCTGGGCAATATTCCCTGCTGGCCTTCGCCATCTTTTTTAAGGGACGCATTTACCCTTTCTCATCATCTGGCTGATCGCCAAGTGATGGCAATTTATTAAAATGCTACCAACATACTACCGGAAAGTGGTGTACACAGTACACAACAATTTTGTTTTACACATTCATCTCTATTAATTAATTTTGTTATAATTAATCATTACATTTATGCTGTGATTATTTGTCAGTAATCATCGTGATACAATTTTACAAAATGAATGTGGGACGCGGGTTACGTCCCTGAACACAATTCAAGTATGCCTTGCTCTACGGCACTTGCGCCCTCTAACCTACGGCTTTCAGAGATGAGATACCATAATCAAAGAGGCATATCAGGACTGCCATCTCCACAGGAGGAAATTACTACTTATTTCTGTGGATATCACAGCCCTATTCCCCTTATAACTACGCGATCTTGTGCGTGATTCCGATACGAACGGTTTATTGCGTATGGTCTTGGGAATTTTGAAACTAACACTGCGCTTGCAAGAGCTCATTGGTCAGTGTGGACAACGCATATTTGGAATAGTTACAAGCTTAGAAATTATGTGGTACTATGGAAGGAAAATTCAATATAAGGATTTAATATCAAATCATAACTCAGAAAAGAAAAGAAATCATTATTCTTTGTTTGTTTTCTCTCTTCACTCGCAATTTGTTCTGCTTGAGAATAAATATTTTTGAGGCCCTTCCCGTATTTCATTGGACTGGAATATTGTAAATGTTCTGCAGCTTCACATAATTACTATGGTTTTAGCAGAATTGTTGATTTACCACTTGAATCGTTAATGAAAAATAATATTGCGAGATTGTATTTAATTATTCTATATTTACTGCAAATAATACCATTTTGTAGTTTTTATCTTACTGTATCCACAAATAGGCAGAAAGCCACTGAGTACCAATAATGAATTTCCAACGAAAATGGTCGGGCCACGACCTGGAGATGTTGAAGTGTCAACTGGAGAATGCAACAAAAACATTGAAGATTGTAGCAAAAGCAACTGAGCTTCATACCGAATAATTACTTTTTAATTTTACTTCATAAAGTATGTTATATATTAAGACACGCTTGATGAAAGAAAAAATGTATTGCCTTAAAGAGAGTATCTTAACTTTCCTTCTACTCATATAATTGTTCAGACTGTATACATACGTTTGATAACTTTATGGAATTTTCAAATGACTATGAGTTTCCTTGTTACTTTGAAAGAGGATGGCAAAGAAGAGTATTTGAATTCACAGGCCAATCTAGGAGACTGGATCTGTGTCAAAGTTTCGTGTACATCAATTTACTGACCTTAATGTTATTACCAAGAGAATGTCGATTAAAAAAAAAAAGCGGCATAATTATTTTAACTCAAGGCCATAGTGGCTGTACTCATATTCTGGCAGCCAGTTTGTGTGATTGTCACCTTTCAGTTCCATAACAAATGAATAGAAATAATTGACAAGTGCTAGACAGATGTCTACCTGAGATTGAAAATGTCTTATTCCCCAAATGGACCATGATTTTACGGGATTGAATTGCAATGCTGATACCTAGGATTGCATAAAATTAAGTGTTGATTCGCGTACGTCACTGCAACATTTCTGTTGTCGGTAACACGATTTGTGAGACTTCATTTCCGTGAATCCAGGCGCATTTAGGAGGATCATTTTACTGTATTTGTATCATAATGTAAGACTATAGAAATTAGTTCAAATACAGATGCTATACTGTACTGTGAAATTTATCACATGTTTCCTGTCATTCAAATATTGCCGCATGAGGACATTTGGATGCCAGTCTAAGAGAATCGAAATTCCCAACTAATGCAATTGAATAGTTCGATCGATAGTTAACGACAGTTATCGTAGGAGTATTCGATAGAACGTTTCAGTAAGTACTGCCTATCACTTTGTGTTATTCGATTACTATCTAATTCCAACTTCTATATGATACGAAAGCAATTAAATGCAAGTAACTGATTCATTCGTTAGTATAACTCGACAAATTATGCCCAAAACTTACTCTTCTTCACATATTATGATAACGTTGCCTGTTGCCAACGTTAGAGTATGGAAAATCCCACTGAATATACGGAAAGGATTAATACAATGTAGCACGGTGCCATCTGTAACTTCCTGTTCCCTACAATATACGCGGGAACTGCTTAACCTCTAATTAGAAAGTGTTTGTGTTTGATTGGTAGTTGTGATAAGTGGAGCAAGTATTACTAATTGACAATGGATTTACTGGAAGATCCGTCTTTTAAAATCAAATATCAGAAATCTAAGTTAAAAGTTAAGCTCTGGGAAAGTGAATTTAGGAAATCACGTGGACGAAATCCTTCAAAGGTAGTAAAAGGAAGTAAAATACGATTTAGTTGATGGGCATCACATTGTATACACAAAATTATAGAAGTTATTTAGTTTTGCAAATGATTTTTTGGGGTGCATAAGTTTACTGTGATGTTTAATTCAAACTGATTAATTCATAACGTAATTCTAAGTTACATTCTTAATGCCAGGCCTTGTGGTGTCCTCAACAGCGTCGTTAATGTCAAGAACATGTAGGACATTGTGGTAGTAACGGATGCTTAGTTATTGAACAGGGAATGGTTGAAGAATGACCAATTGCATAATTTAAGGTGTACTGTATCAGTTTTAGAACAACTAAGAAACCAATGGAAGAATACGGATTTTTTAGTCGAGTTTTCGTTTGTCTTCCTTGCACACAATGCAGCGATTTAATTTCACATAGATTTATTAAATCAGGGTTGCCACGTTATCCCAAAACATAATCCAGTGTTAGTATAGGTAGCCAAACTTATTGCTATGGTGATGTTTTGAATAAAGTATGAACTACATGCTTTTGTCTCTTGATCATATTACTAAGAAATTATTAACAGAATTTATAATCATATATCGAATGGTTAATTTTGTATATTGTCTTTGTATGTATACAGGGAGGATATTTGAGAGCCTGCCATAAATCTTTGGCTGGTGTGGGGGGAGCCATATATGCTATTCACATGAACTCACTGCATACATTTTGGACTCATGGTGTGGTTGGCAGGGCAATAGCCCATACACATTTCAATTTCTGTCCAGTATCAACAAATCTTTTAGCGCTTCATACCAAGCCCCTGATACTGAATTGAAGACTGAAACAATTACGTTACTTCTTTTGTCAAAATGCCATGTGATAATTACACGTTGAAACAACTCTTCAAGTATGATAAGATAACCATATGAAGAATTTAAAAAATGCTACAGTTTCAAATAAAAAATATTCATATATTTAGACAGTGTTATGTTAGAATCATTATGTCAGAACATATTATTTTCAGACCTGACAGATGTCACTTTACTTAATTTTTTGGTTGAAGAAGTATTACACACAGATGCTTGTTGCATTTACTCTAAAAATTACTTAACATACTATGGGGAATAATAATTTTCCTGGGGAGTAAAACGTGGCCGGCGCGTAAGGCTGAAAACCTTACCGCCATCTTTGAGCTGATAGTCTAGAGAATGTGCGACCCTCAACATCTCACAACTCTATGGGCCTTTATGGCCTGTTACAGGGATACCTTTACTTTTTACTATAGGGAATAGAGTTCTTGAGAAGCTAATAATCGCTTGGTGAGGTCTGCCCTTTTTGCTGATTATGTTGGTATAGTAAGCTTGGAACTTGATGAAAACACTTTCTTTTTTGGGAAATTATCAGGTATATTTAATCCTATGAACAGATGGTATATAAAGAGTTGCCTTCTGCTGTCTGACTCATTCAGGTTTCATACTTGGCTTACTCTTTGTCCCTGAATGTGGAGGTGATATGTTCCTCCAAATATTTTCTGACTTTCCCCAGATTACATGGTGTTATATCCCAGAAGCTCAAGTCCAGCAAGTGGCATATAGGTATAAACTCATTTAAAATATTGACGAAACATACTTCATAAAATTTGTAACCAGTAACAAACCCATAACTGATATGAATATATGTTACTGTTCTTGAGGACCACCTCTGTGGTCTAGTGGTCAGCGTTCCTGGCTACAGATCCAGAGGTCCAGGTTTTATTCCCAGCGCTACCAGATTTTTTCGGAGAGTACAACACGTTTCATTGCTCAGATGCACTCAAACAGTACACTGGTGTGACAAATGGAACAAGATACAAAACATGTTTTCTCTTTTTACGATTTCGCCGAGATAGCTTACATCAGTGAGAGAGGAACAGCACACCAGCTCTCTGATATTTTTCTCTTTTCACTGTTTCTCTCAGTCTTCTCAAGCAAAGCGAAAGCAGATCACAACTTTTCCTTGACCTACTTTCATTATTTATTTATTTATTTACATTTATACATTCCGTTGATCCTTATGGTACAGCTGACCAGTGGATATGGATTTTGTCCCAAGCTAATAGATTAAAATACGCAAATACAAAAACTACATACATACTTTTGTCATTAAGACAGTTAAAAGATTTATATTAATGTACAATGCATAAAATGATCAAAATTATAAAACAATAATTGATACAAAATACTTAGGTAATGATATAAAATTATAACATATCAGGGGTACAATTACCAATTTTAATTACATACATGGTTAAAGTATTCCTCTAGGGAATAAAAAGAATTTGAAAGAAAAAATCTTTTTAGCCTCAGTTTAAATAGTTTCACATCGTTACTCATACTCTTGATTCTGGATGGCAGGTGGTTATAAGCCTTAATACCAAAATAATATGGTCCTTTCTGAAAGATTGTTAGGCGTGATGTGGGAAGGTGCAAATTTGTGGTATGTCTAGTATTAAGATTGTGGGTCTCATAGTTTGAACTGTATAGGTCTCTATTATTTACAACAAACAGAATTATAGAGTATATATACTGTGAGTACATTGGTAATATTTTTAGGTTTTTGAATAGTTCCCTACATGAGTCTCTAGTTCTTACATTCATAATAGTTCTAATGATCCGCTTTTGCATTCTGAAAACATTTATACTAGTTGCTGAGCTACCCCAGAAAATTATCCCATATTCCATGATAGTATGCACATAGGCAAAGTAGATCATCCTTAGGGTTTCCTGTGACATGAGACCTCTTACAGTTCTAATTGCATAGCAAGCTGCACTCATTTTAATTACTAATTTATCAATATGAGACTTCCATGATAATGTTTCATCAATATAAATACCTAGAAACTTAATATTTGGCACATTAGTGATATTCTTATTTTGATGATATATGCTTATGTCTGTTACCAAACTATTTTTAGTCCTGAACAGGAGATGGTGGGTTTTATTAAAATTTAAGGATAGCAGGTTAGCTTCAAACCATTTGTTTATGGCTAAGAATTGTTTATTCATATTAATTTCCAAATTATGAGGGCTCGAATCGGATATTATGATACTAGTATCGTCAGCGAATAAAATAATCTTCGCATTATTTGTTATTACTTTGGGTAAGTCATTAATATACAATAAGAAAAATAAAGGACCTAATATAGAGCCTTGTGGGACACCATATTTGATGATCTCCCAATCAGAAAAGGTGGTATTATAGGTTGTCCTATTATTTAATACTACCTTTTGGTATCTATTGTTCAAATAAGACTTGATTAATTTTTTAAATACTCCATTTATCCCATAGTATCCCAGTTTATTTAAAAATATTTCGTGGTTAACACAGTCATCCTATGGACACTATCCTCCATTGTATGTCAGCACACTTTCTACTCTGTTGAAGAATACATAATTNCATTTTCAAATTCTCCAATTTTCCTGCTTGATTCAAGGTCCTGACAAATTAATTAATAACAGCTTATTAATTATTTATGGAATTTTAATACCCATTGTGGAATAATTATAAAGAACTTTGCATTTATGTAAATTAAGTATATCATGTGTTTTGTATGTACTTTATTATGACTTGCTTATTGTGTTTATATGTACACTGCCTTATTCCACATCCTACGTAACAAGGATCCATGCATGTAATCTGTCTTGTCAAGATATTTTCCACCTTTTTGGAACCTCAAAGTGTCCTACTCTGTTCATAAGAGTTCACCACTGGACCCCATTCCACTGCAGAAGAATCCACTCAACATCTCACACTGTTTCTTTAAAATCCATTTTAATATTATCCTGTATCAATGTGTAATTCACCCAAGTGGTATCTTCTCTGCAGATTTTCCAGATCAGTTTTTTTATGTGCACATAGCGTATTTAATTTAAATTATGCCGTTGAAGTAATGCCATCTTGCTTGAAGTTATTCATGCAAAGTGCAGATATAAGAGTGGTTGTCAAAGTTTGTTACTCTTAACTTCCCAGCTTGCTTTCTTGCCAGAGTTTCTAAATGTATGTTAACATTTTTATTTCAGATGGATATTCGTGCAGCATCTCAGAAAGTGAAAGAGGCATACAAATTGTACTACCAGCTAAAAACACTAGCACTTCAAGATTCCCTTATGGATATTACTTGTTCAGATGACAGAGAAAATATTACAACTTCAGATATATCAGAAATAAAACATTCTATCACATCTGTAGAGGCTGACAAAGTCATAGATCAAAGTGATCAAATTAGACAACACAGGATTGCATTAGCAGATATTCAGAATGAGAAAGATGTTGATAGTTGCACATGTGACAGTGAAAAGGTGTCACATGTTGAAGAATGTGTCAGAGATGTCTTACATGAACGAAGTTCTGAAGACCTGAAAGATGTATGGGGCTCACATTTAAATAAAAATGCGGAAAAAGTGTTAGACTCTGCAACAAAGACATTTAGTCAACGCTCTGCATGTTTTCACTTCTCTGAGAAACTCTTTATAGGATCAAAATTTAGCAAAAAGAATCCAAGGAAATCACGTTCATTTTCACAGCCTAGCAAGTCAGTTGAAAATGATGGTTTTCAAGTTCTCCCATGTTTCGAGGTTAAGAAAATGTCTTCAGAGTATATGACATGTGGTCATCAAGAAGATATGCCACGGCCCTCTACTGACAACAGAAATGCTGCTGAATCTACTAGCACCCCACACTCTGCATTATCTATAAATGGTCTGCTAGAAGAGAAGCTGACGGTTGTCAGGAATTCTACTCAGATAACAAATCAAGCTGTCAGTGCCATTCATAGAGCTGTGTTGACTTCTGATTCATGTGAGCAGAAATGCACCCCATCAAGGACTGTTGATAAGGGCTGGTTGGACAGATGTACCAAAGCTAATAGCTTAGAATATCAAGTAACACCTGTGAATGATTCAGGTATTGAATCAATGGAGTCAAGCACAGTGACTGATCAGTGTTCCATTATAGAAGATACACCAAAACTGTTGCAGCCTGTCTCTGCTATTGCCTCTCAGCTGCCTTGTACGAAGCCTAGTCAGTGTTTGACTCTTCCAGATGTTACTGGAAATGAAAAAAGAAAGATGGGGGTAGCAGTCTCTGATGACAGTGATGAAGATATTATTTATAACAGTGAGGAATCTGAAAATGAAGAGCAGATGATAAGAATGAGGAGAATAACGTGTGGTAAGAAGAGAAAACTTTATGCCAGTGACGCAGATTTTCCTGGAACTTCAGCCAAAAACAAAGACACGTTCCCAGAAGCTGTACCCACATTGGCAGGAGCAGAGGACACACTTATAGAAATCCCATCTATTGCAGACATTAACAAAATAGCTGAAGCTATTGTATCAACTGAAAAGAATGTTGAGAAGAAAAAACGTGCTGTCTCAAGCAAGTTAACCAAGAGAGAGATACTGGAGAGGAAGATGTGTGCAGGTCAAGCAAATGATAATTTCGTCCGTATCAATATAAAGAAGAAAGTTTATGTACGAGGGAAGAAGAATAACAGTTACTCAAAATACAAGAAAGCTGAATGGAAGAAGAAAAAGAAGATGGTAGGCTCAGCAGTTGATGATGATGCTGGTAGCAGTGGGGTGCTGAAGTGCTTTAAATGTGGTGACATAGGACATTTTGCTCGCAATTGCTTGAATTTTCAAGGTGAGTTGTGTAGGTAAATAATTTTGTATTCAGAGTAACGAAAATGATTACTTCTTGCCACTGTGTTGACTTCTGTTTGTAACTATAAGTTAATTTCCATTTTGGCTTTTTCATTTCTGATGTCTATTTGTAAATACTGCAAGATGGTCATCATCACATACTGAGTGTAGTTACTGCAAATTTATTTGGACCCATTTACACAAAGTTGCAGTAAGGTGTGGGACCTTGGCCTCACCGTAGCTCAAGTGGTTAGTTGCTGGCTTCCCACCACGGCGGCCCAGGTTCGAGCCCAGGTCTGGTCAAGTGGGTTTTGTGGTGGACAAAGTGGCACTGGGGCAGGTTTCTCTGAGTACTTTGATTTCCCCTGCCAATCTTCATTGCACCAAATTCTCCATCATCATAATTGCCTGGGGCAGGTACAATAGGCCAGTCAGTGGCTGCCGTGCCAAGTGAACCCAGCTGGACTCCACCCCCCACTATGCAAATTAAAAAAACAATTAATTATTAAGGTGTGAGACTTGCATCTTATTGACTCATGAAGTGCAAGATACCTTTTTTTCTCATAGAACACCAGTCACTTGATAAACGCAATCACTTGCAACCTGTTCCACCTCGAATGGTCATTTTTTACCTTCTAGTAGCAGAAGTGAACTAACTACGTTATATAAAGTCATGCTTGGTAAACTGATAATTGCTTAATTGGCCAGGAATGTCCCTGCTTTTTGTGGAACTCGGGTTCGTTTTATGAGCTTGTCACTGGGCTGTATCATGAGCTAAGTGAATCCATTCCACATCCTTACACCCTAGTTCTTTAAGGCCTCCTTCTGCATTGTTTCTCCCATTTAGGTCCAGGTCTTGTAAGCGACCTGTTCTCTTCAACTTCATGCTACATGCCTTGTCCATTTCTTTCTCATTTTTTGATCACTCTGTAATGTTCAGTTCCAATCGTCTCATTAATTTTTCTCTAATATCCAGATGTTCTCCTTAGCACCTGTTCTCAGACACCTCAGATGAGTGGTCTTCCCTCAAGATAACAGAGTTTCACATTACAGTCATACCTCAGACTTAGGACGTAATGCAGTCTTGAAAACAGTCAAGTTTATTATAAAATGGGATATATGTGGCAATGTTCCTGGAGCTCAAGGCTAAGTCCTGTTCTTCAATATTTTTATCTCTGAGATATTGGGTTTTCAGACTTTATCCATTGTCCTGGTTTTTAAGATAACTAATAAAAACACGACATTTCGGAAACTGGATCTGTTCCCGTCCTCGGGTGAGGGAAAACACCCCTATTCTGTTGGGTCCCTTAGAAAGACCTAGCCTCAATCAGTGATTGAGGCTAGCTCAGTGTGTTATACACCATCTTCAGAATCCTATAGTAACTATTTTTATCTCTGTTACACTATAATTGTATTGATTTCATTATAAAATCAAGTAAAACATTGAAATATTTAAACTCTTATAAACATTTAAATTGAGGTAATTACTATTTTACTGAGGATCATCAAGAGTTGTTATTTGAACCATCATAGCATTTACAAACTTTATGAAACTGAAATTAGCAGTTTATTAAAATCTGGAATCTCCAATGCCTCATCAAATTCTGATATGAGAACTGTAGTTGCGGGAGATTTTGGGAAGGGCTTGCCTTGGCTGAGGACACCAGAGGAGTGGAAGGGAGAATTGTTAGCAGATTTTGTCCAAAATCCAAAGGTCTGACTGTATTTAAAAGCAGTCTACAACATGATTGTTTGTTGGGGGTGTGCTTTTTAATCTTGTAGTATTTGGTTTGAAAATTAATGTTTTTTAAAGGTTGGATAAATATACATGTCAACAAGGTAATTGCTTTCATAATCTGTGTATTAAGTATAATTTTCATTTATTGATATATCGCAGCTTCCATTCAAGATGAAATCCTAGAAATATCCATGTCTGTTGTGCTTCCTTCTTACAGGGGACAAGTTATTACCACAAGATGAGGCAGAAGAGGATGACAGCCCATTCCCAACCCTGGAGGAGGTTGAGGCAATGGCTGCTGAACCTATTTATGCAAGTAGAAGGAAAGTTACAGCATCATTTCTGATGACATCTCAGCATGGAAATGAGCAGAATACAGAAACATGCTGTAGCTTTGACTCAGTTACATTCAGTGATATAAAGCCATTATATGAATTGAAAGAAGATGGCACATTAATAGGTGAGTCTTCATTATTAGTGTACATACATACATACATACATACATTACATTACATTCCGTAGATCCAAAGTAAGTCAGAATGACTGTAGGATGTGGAACAAGTCATACAAATACAAAAGCCATAAATACAGTACAACTGAGACACAACAACAAAAAATATGTCCACATATACAGGGGGGTCCAAAAAAATGTACTCACTCTTTGATAGTCATTATCTTTGGAATAAAATGACATGTAGTTATAATTCTTGCATGGTAGTTTAGTGTAATGTTTTCTCAAGAGATGGCAAAGGTCAAATGAGTCACATGAGTGTTGTGCTATGTGCTCGCTGAAAGCAGAAGAGAGCAGCAATAATGGCTGAAAGGTTGTTCTTTGAGCAACGCAAGGCTGTATTGAAGTGGTACTGGAAATAAAGAGGTACAACGACAATGGCAGAATGAGTTTGGAACTCAGCCACCAACATGTTGAACAATTGCCCATATTTGGGATAAATTTGAAGCCGACGGTACTGTTGATGCTGTGCATAAGCAAAGATTTGGGCGACCACAGATAGTAACAAGTCCAGCTTCCAGTGCTGGGTGTTGCAACACTTTACACAATCACCGCAAAAATCTGTGAATCAGTGTGCACGTGAAAGTTGGGTAAGCCGATCAAGTGTGCGGTGAATTCTGAAGGCTGCAAAGTGGAAAATGTACATTCCAAGACTGCTGCACACTATGAACAAGGACGACCCAGATTGAAGTCTTGAATAGTGTGAGTGGTTTGAAGGCATGGTTCGTGAGGATGAGGAGTTTGCAGGGAAAGTTATCTGGTCTGATGAGGTGCAATTCAAAATGCACGGTACTGTTAACTGCCACAATTGTGTGTATTAGGCTCCTGTGAATCCACACGTTCACGTGGACAAGGAAGTGAATCTACTGGGTGTTAATGTGTGGTGTGGTCTGTCATCGCGCGGTTTGATTGGTCCTTTTTTCTTTGAAGGTACCGTAACTGGTCAGGTGTATCTTGATATGCTTCAGACATTAATTTTCTCTGCCATTCGAGAGCTGTTTGGAGATGAGAGGTTTTACCTACAACAAGATGGTGCCCCACCTCGCTACCATCGAGATGTCAGGGCGTACTTGGATGATACTCTACCTGGACGATGGATAGGTCGAAGAGATGCTATTGAGTCCCCACCACGGTCTCCAGACCTAACACCTCTCGACTTCTACCTATGGGGACCTTGAAGGATGAAGTATATCGACAAAAGCCAGCTACACTGAACGTGCTACGAGAAACCATCGAAGCGTCGTGTGCAGCCGTCACACCAGACACACTGACAGCCGTAGTTCGCTCAGCAGTTTGGCGGCATCAACGCTGTTTAGCCGCTGATGGTGGCCACTTCGAACACATACAATGACTCTCTCTCTCTGCGCAAGAATTGTAACTACATGTCATTTTGTTCCAAAGATATTGACTATCAACGAGTGAGTACATTTTTTTCGACCTCTCTGTATAAGTCAATACTGTCAACTTATGCTATAAACTGTAATGTGGATTGTTGGAAATTGTAATGCCAGAATAATATGCATTTTTCTGAAAACATGTCAGGTTAGCAACCGATCTTGGAGATGGTGCTTGTTTCTCGTGTTAACTCTGTGTATGTCCGAATTGGTCTGAAAACGTTCTTGGTGATTTATAATGAAGCTTAATAATGAAAATATATATTCACATGGAAGAGGTAAGATCTGTAATCTCTTAAGTAGCTCTCTACAAGAATTTTGAGGTTTTATGCCCATCATGATTATAACAATTTTCTTTTGTAATGTAAATACCTTTTTATTGTCAGATGAGTTATCCCAAAATATTATTCCATACTTCATTATAGAGTGAAAGTAGGCAAAATAAACTGATTTCAGTGTATCAATGTTGCTGACACGTAACAAAGCTCTTACTGCATGACATGCCCCACTTAACCCGTTGCCGTGGTTCGTCGTGTATGTTTCGTCAGGGATTTAAATCGTCTGGGGGGGTTCGGCGTGTATGTTTCGTCCAGCTGCACACCTATGTTATAACGCCCATAATAATTGATGGTTTTGCTGTAGATTGTTAGATTTTTCGCTGGCCTGTTGTCACAAGAACAGAGTATACTAAGCCAACGAGTTTAGCTGAGATAAGTCATCGTTACATATGCCTGTCTTGCAGCAAATTCGTGTTGCTTCTTGTAGCGGTTTCGTCACTCAATGGCGTATTTGCTTTGCTTGTGAAGTAATAAACACCAGAGAGGTGATGTGTGCTGTTGTATATAATATCATATTGCCCTGAGCTGGCCACACAAACACATTCCATTGGAATTCTTAGAAGAGGGTTGTCCAAAATGTTATTCTCGTAAAATCGATTGCTTTCGCACAGTACATAGCACCCATTTCTTAGAAATACGCCACAATTTAAGGCAGAACACTGTGGTCACCCCCTGAGACGATACGGATGTGTGTGGGGGAGGGAAAAGTACTCATTATCGCTCCAGTTGACGCCATTTTATCGTACTGACCTTGGTGGTCGTTTCGAGAGCCAGCTCTGTGTTTAGACTAATGCTTCAAGGCGTCACCTGCTTACATAGCCGAGATACCGGGTGCTCATATTATAAGGCAAGGTTATAAAACCAACTTTTAAGATCATTTTAGTGAAAGTTTCATCCTTCAAGGCGTACCATTCTCTGCTCAAATACTAAATAACATGCTTCCATTGAAGATATAAAGGGGGTTCATATTATAAGGTAAGGTTATAAAACCACCTTTTAAGATCATTTTAGTGAAAGTTTCATGTTCCTATCTCATAGAATTTAAGAACAATGATGAATAAATAATTTTCGAGCAAAATTTAAATGGCCGGCTGAATATATTACCGCAGGAGCCGCAGCCGCGGAATTTAAATGACCACGTCAAAAGGTTAAAGAAGAAAGCAGTCTTCTGGGATTTGGCACCGTGTATATGTGGTGTTAGCCGACGTTTCGGAGGAATGTATCACCCCCATCTTCAGGGTAGAAGAAAAAGTATAAGAATTCTGCAAGCGACAACACCGTGAGAAACGGTAAAGCAGACGGTTAACACCACATATACATGGTGCCAAATCCCAGAAGACTGCTTTCTTCATAGTCACCGCCGTGAAAGCCTCAAATCTTACATGCCCCACTTAACTTCGTAACCAACTGATCGATATGGTATTTCCAGTTTAAGTGGTTATCAATTTGTAAGCCAAGAAATTTTGTGTGTACTGACTCTTCTGTATATTTATATAGATTATATCCAGTGCTTAATGGATATTGAGGTGTATTATTTGTTATAAATTTTATTATATTTGTTTTATCTAGATTCAGGGCCAGTTTGTTAGCAGCAAACCATTTACTCATCTGAGAAAGAACACTGTTCAATGACATACAGAGATCATTTAATTCCTACTATAAATTATTAGACTAGTGTCATCGGCAAATATTATGGATATTGATCGTGTATTTATTGTTGGGGGAAGGTCCTAAATTTGACCCCTGAGGAGCTCCATGCTCTATTCCCCATTTTGAATAAGTACTTTGGGTTGCTATAGGTGATTTTATTTCAATGTTTTGTTTTCTATCTACAAGGTAGGATCTGAACCAACCTGCCATTGTTCCCTGAATACCATAAAATTGTAATTTAGTTAACATAATTTCATGATTAACACAATCAAAAGCTTTAGCTAAATCACCGAATATTCCACCTACATGCTTTTTCTGGTTAATAGATTTTAATACACTGTCTGTTAGCATAAAGGCTGCGTTTTCAGTGGATATGCCCTTCCTGAAGCCAAATTGTTCTGGGACCAGTATATTATTAGTCTGCAAATAATGGCTTAATCTAATGTACATAACTTTCTCAACTATGTACTTCAGAAAAAGTAGTTAATAGTGAGATTGGTCTGTAGTTTGACATACTAGATTTGTCACCTTTTTTGTATATTGGTCTTACTATTGAAATCTTAAGACGGTTAGGGAAGATCCCATTCAAGAGCAAGTGATTACAAATGTGAGTTAATGGGCACCTGATCAGTGATGTACAAACTTTTAAAATTGTACTTGTTAT